AGTTTTATGTTAAGTATTATATTTCACCAGATTTTTTACTGTAATACATATTCAAGCGCGAATGAGAACCGTTTCAAGTGGGATGCTAGGTGTGAAAAACAAACAAACAAACAAACAAAACCATTTTTTGAATGTTACATTTTCAAATCGTATACCTACCCACCGAACGAATATTCAAATATTCTGGTCCAGCCCTAGTGACGTGTTACATAGTACACAATAGTACATTGTTTTTAATTTGTCGTTTAATGAGACCTAATATGTTGTTAGTGGTGAGAATTTTCACGTGATTAAATACATAGATCCGGGGGTGCGAGACGGCCACCATTTATATAACCATTTCAATAACTCTGAAGCTATTTATTACATTATTTTCAGGATAAAATTAGTTTCAGAACGTCATTAAACAACAATAATAACAAAAACAATAATAATTTCTGGGTCAGAAATGGTCTTCAGTGCTGGCAGACCAACACGTCATCCACACACTGCGCTCTTGCAAAAACCCTTGTTATGATCAATGAAGCTGTGCAGTGAATCTCGTATTGCCCTTGTGTTTATTAGTGACGAGTGTGCAGAACTCGTGCTGAACAAAAACTCTGCTGTTTTGAGCAGTATTGAGTGGATCTGATGACCATTGTGCTCACATGCTAAACAGATCGTGTCTTTGATAGGCGACAAAGCTTAACACTGCAAAAACATGTTGTAAATATAAAATTAAGTAAGCTTAATATTACCAGCTAAATCTATGTGAATTTATTATAAATATTCAATATATTTCCCCAACATGCTCTCTCTCTCTCTCTCTCTGAATCACATACACAGACAAAGTGTGTGTGCGGAGAAGGGCAGAAAAGTTTAAATCCATCTTCCAGTGCCAAATTATAAAGTGCAAGTAGTTACTCTTTGGCCTGTAGATCCAGTCTAATGACAGATTTAAAGTAGTCCATCCTGATTTTACATCTTGTCATTATTTGATGTCTACTTGCCTTAATCAGATGTGGCTTTTCCCTGGGCTAGCCCACCCATCACCGTGTTTCAGCTTTTATAGCTTTTTATGGTAATTTCAGTGCCAGAGATGTCATTTACATTTAGATTTTCATATTTTTTTTTTTCTCAGAAATTTTTAATATTCGGTAGGGCAGTTACCTAAAATAGAGTGTGTAAGCACCACTGGCCCTGTGCAATGACTACATCCACATTTGTCAAATGGGTGTTCTCACAGCTCTATCAGTTTGGCTCCAGGCAAAATATTATTTCAGCCATCAAATCCATTCCTTGTCATCATCTATCATCTGTCCCTACTGCTATTAAAAATCAGGCCAGTGCCACTACTACACATTGGTTGCAAATGCCAGTTTCCCCTAGAGGTGCTTTGGACTGCTTTAATGGTTTTGTTTAGGAAACAGGAAAGAGCAATTCTCAACGCTAAAGATTTTTTTCTAAATCCATTTTTGTTGTTGTTGTTGTTATTAGTATTATTTTTCTTGGTTTAATTTTTTACATGCTCTGCAAACGTTTACTGGGCCCACCACAAAAAAAGTTGTTTTTGACCCATGTATTGTAATAAATAGGTTTGTGACACCAAATTTCGGATACGAGCAAAATGTCACAATTCTCAATTCCAATGTCGATCGATACCACAGTAAAAAATACTTGGCCAACTAAAATGAAATTCAAACATTATTAAAGATGCTCTATGCAGTTTTTAGCAGCCTCTAGTGGTGATGTTTCAGAATGCAACAAGAGCGCTCGCGCTCGTGTGCTTGAGCATGCTCGATCTCAAGAGCGAGCATTCACTACCTGCCACACGGACACTTTCAACGCAACGGTGAAAGCATCACTCAACATGCTGGAAACTCATGTAAACTCCCACTGCAGTTATAATTATAGCCTACTTTTATCAGCTTGACGTTGAACTAATGCTCTGAGCTCGTACCATGATCATAATGTTACAATAAACTGCATTTAGCCCTTATCTTTCACAAAGCAATGTCAACATAGGTGAATGTATAATATGAAAACGAACACGGTTAGTGAACTAGACTGAAGAGTTTCAGTGTTTAGATTGTAGGAAGTGACATTATGTGTATATACACTATGGTAGTAGTGGGATGAGTGACGTTAGTCAATAGATCTAGTAAATAAAATAAGTTACATCCTAACATAAACATAATCATGACATAATCATGATAACGTTTCCCGTACTATATACGGTAAATAACTGTGATAGATCTCATGGTACATTTAATGTAATTTTACTGTAAAATACTGTTAAAATTACAGTTTTTGGAAGTGAAAAAGAACAACTCATTGTATAATTTACAGTGAAAAAAATGTAAATTGACATTCACATAATTCCCTGTGTGACACTTACTTCACATGTTATGAATTTCTGTTTAAATAACTATGTTTCCTCATAGTTTTCTTGTTTTTTTTTTCTAATCAGTTATGTACATTAGGGTTTTATGTCACATTTAATGTTGTTAAATTAATGTTTATTGCTTTTTTTTGTTTCATGTGTGTTACCATGATGGTGTTTATTTAATTTTTGTGTGAATGACACTGAAGCTTTTTTATATAAGTATTAACTTTCTTGTGGCAGAGCTGCTTGTGATGAGCTCTGATTGATCATGTGACTCTCATTACTGTTGTGATGATTGTTGATTGTTGGTGTATTACAATGGTACAAAACGGATATCAAAACTTCAATATGTTGGTAAATTAACATTATATCAGATAAATGAAATACGGTTTATTAGTGTCAATTTTAAGTTAAGTCTGTAAAACCAATAACGTTGCTACCGTATTAGGCGGTAAGGTTCTGGCAACCACAGCTGTCGTTTTTTTACCGTAAAAAATACGGTTTTAGTTTTTACAGTATAGTATATTTTAGGGCTGCAACAACTAATCGATAAAATCGATTATAATCGATTATGAAAATCGTTGTCAACGAATGTCATTATCGATTAGTTGGTCTGATTATGTCACGGGGATTGTTTACATGCTACATGCGCTTCTTACATGCGCTTCTTACATGCGCTTCATGAGGCACACACGCAGTCTCTCTCCCTCGCCGGTCTGTGCGCAACACGGACGGTTTGGAGCACATTATCTTCTGTCTCGCGCGCGCAACACGGACGGTTTGGAGCACATTATCTTCTGTCTCGCATGCGCACTTTTGATTCCGTCACGTGAGTTTGAACTAATTTGCGGGCATCAGGAAACCGCTATCAATATGCAGCATACACGAAAATCATTCACCTTTCGGCAAATTCGCCGTTTTGAAATCAAAATAGGTGACCTGCGTTAATCATGTATACTTTATGAAGCCATACTGTAGTATAATGTGAGATAGAAATGTATATTTAAGTCATTAAATTCAAGTTAACGTAAGCTTTTCCCTCCACTGCGGCTGTAAGTCATTCTCTATTCGGTGTTCAAACAGCGCGTCGCGTTACAACAGACATGATGAAACTCTTTCCAAGATGATTCAATGTTATTATTATAATTGATTCGTAGATAAAGGTCTATGGTTTCGTAATATAATGACTATCTTGCTAGACTTTTATTGCTGTAACTTAATCACTTTCTACTGAGTGTCTGTTAGATCACAGCACTAGAGTAGACTCGGCGCACTATAATTGTTCTTCACGTGCACAGTAGCCTATCTGAAATTTAAAACTGTTAAAAGAAAAGGCTTAATAAACTATTGCAAAGATACTGTAATACACAGTCAATATTGCTTCCTCACTAAACAGCTGTGCATCTGATTTTTACGATGTTTTTCATAAATGTATAACAACAATACAAAGAGCAATGTGTAACGTTTTACCAGAGATAGTGCTATACTTATTGTCTCTTATTTTTTCCCCACTAAGGAATGTTTTTTTCACTAAATGTTCAGATTTTATAAAATTATTGTGCACTTGTGATTTTTCTAGGCTAAGTTTTTCTGAGTTATCCACTAATCTAGTTTACAATAGCATTTTTGTCATAGGTTATGGTCATATATATATTTTTTATTTGTTGTTTTTCTATATAATGAAGTTGTCTGTATTAAGAAGATTGTTTAACACACAAAAGAGTGTGGTTTTTAGGGTTTTATTTAGTTATAATAAACAAAAAAATGAAATAAATTTTTTATCCGATTAATCGATTAATCGAAAAAATAATCGTCAGATTAATCGATTATCAAAATAATCGTTAGTTGCAGCCCTAGTATATTTCTCCTCCCTATTTTTTGGGGGGCTAGTAGTTCAAAATGGCCGGTAACTTAAAAATGTAGTAGCCATAGCCAAATTAGCCGGTGGTGATTGAAAAAGGTTAAACCCTGGTGGTGTCTGTTTAATGCTATGACTATTTTACTCCTTTGAAGGTGAGCACAATTTATGTTCAGATTGCTTGTATGTTGCATTGACTTTATTATTATCTATTCTCACATTTTTGGTGTCATTTGCAGATCACTAGGTACTCTACCAAAAATACAGTCTATGTTTTTGAAGCACAGCCATTGTGATGGACTGGCTGTAGCAGATATAACTTACAGGGATACACGGGAGTAAGAAACAAACAACCTTCAGTGCAACAAGACAGGGGACTAACTGAAACAGAGGGCTTATATATACAGAAAAAAAGGGAGAAACTAACTAGACGCACCTGAACTAGGGGCTCTAATCAAATCTGTAACTAACTAACAAGTGAGAGGAACTGAGGGAACAGAACTAATTATCAAACCAGAAGCAAGTACAAACAAGCAATAAACACGACAAAACAAACTCAAACCGTGACAGCCATAGTCTGAACCAGTTGATTTTACGATCTCATGAAAGCTTTTGTGTCTAAATGAAATATACTAACAGTCAACATTTATATGCATGTCTTTAAATGTTTTGGTCAGTGTTTAATCATATCATATATAACTGCAGTGTCATCTGGACTTCTTGTGTGTTATTTTGTGATTTTGTCTAATTCTTTATTTTTGATTATTTTCTCCACAGATATTATTGACAGGAATGAACTGAGGCTATTCTTTGAAACCAACTGCTCACAGATTTATTTTATCTTCTATGAAAATTTCATTACACTGGAAAGCAACTTAAAGCAAAAAGGTAAGACATTGTCTGCGTTCTTGAGCTTAAAATGCAATGGCTGAGTCATTAGCCAAGTTTACATCCACTTTTTGCACTGTTTTGTTATCGGCAAAGTGTATATGCCTTAAAAAAATATTTTTTTGTCAAAATTTAGCGGTCTCTGGCCTGTTTCCATCCAATTTAAGCTTAAGCTACTCCCCTCAGGTCGTAGGTACTCCATGCCCAAATGCAGGTTAAACAGATATAGGAACTCTTTTATCCCGACTTCAATCTCAATATTAAATAAACTACCAGAACTGTTTTAATGTACTTCTATTTAATTTATTTATTTATTTATTTTATTTATTTATTTATTTATTTTTCTATGTATTTTTGGGGACTGTGTGTTTTATGCCTTGTGGTAATGTTGCGTGTTGTGCCTTGTGTTTTTTCTGCTGGCTGTACAAATAATTGCCCTCCGGGGACAATAAAGTAACCTTAACCTTAACCTTAACCAATTGGCTTGATAAAATGGTGTGCGTAATGACATCATCCCTAAAAAAATATGTTTTTTTTTGAATCTTTTTTTTTTTAAAGGCAGAGTAATATTACAATTGGAATTTGCCAGTTTACTGCTTAATATTTTCACAAATAATAAGCCTATTACTTAGGACATATTAGTAAATCAGAAGATCATGCTGAAGTGGGACTGCTGGTCTGACAGGACCGCATGTAGACCTAACCTTTATGTGATGATGCCCATTTGGACACAGGGCAGCTCATTTGTCATGTTGCCTATGCAAAATTTTAGGGTTCATAAAAAGGTGGCAGTGCAGTGTAATGTTTGGTCATATAGCAACAATATTTAATGTAACCTTGAATATGCGGTCAAAGGTGTTTCTAAATCGTTTTTTCGCGATATTTAAAGTATCAACCTAGAATTTATGCACTAAAGTTAAACAGAAAAAGATTGTCAACATTTGCAAAAAAATTATTGATAATTGGCATTTCCATCAACTATATCTGTAAACATTTCGATGCTCGAAACCTTTTTTAGCTTTGGATGGAAACCTATTTTCATGTGTCTTGAGATGTGTTAATAACCCTCTAGGCTGCCCTTGGTCTATAGTTTACAGAATTAGCTGAGAGAACTTTTTCTTTTCTTAAGAACAATTATACTTGAAATATTTCCAAAAATCTAAATGAATCAAGCACTTGTGTGCAAATGAATCAAGTCCATGTGTTTCAATGCACATGCATAAAATTCCTAAAAAAAATAATGGAATGTCTAATATCCCTTTACTTAATGACTGCAAAAGTGATCTAAATCAAAATTTAGTTGTATTCTACGGTTAACTATCTAATATCTGCTGATAAATATGCAATGTCTCCCGTTGCTGATTTTTAAAACGAGAAATCATCAATCAGCTAATGACTGATATGGTCTTGATATATATTGTGCTTTTGTTGTAGCACATTCCCCATCAGTCACATACTATATACTGCTTTTTCAGTTTCATGGTACATTAGTAGATAGCTTGCTTGGATAAACATTTTGAAAAAGAGCTTTTGAATAATGCATGATCCTTCCAGGAAAAAAAAAAAAAAAAGATTCAGTCCAACACTTTCTCAGCTGGACGTACCAGCCCTGCTTCGCTGTATGCCCCCTCGTGTGAAGTTAATGAGGCTTTTGTTTCTGTTGAATCCCATCTCTGATCGAAGTGTTTTTTCTGCACTGTATTCAGTGAAGGTCACCTGTCTTTCATGCTGAAACACAATTCTACAGCAAAAGTATTTGTTTGAAACGTACACCTTCCCTGAGGAGAGTGGTGATTCAGCTGAGCAGTTTTTAACTTAGTAACTTTTTGGACAGGAATTCAAATCTTGGAACGCAGATTTGCTGATATGCAGTAATAGTAATAACTACATTAACCTTCTTAAGAGCTTAAGATTGAGTATCACCCTCAAGATGAACAAACTCCTAACCTTAACTCTTTTTCCTGGGTCAAAAATGGCGGCGGACGAACACGGTCATCCACACACACAGATCAGATATCGCAGGACAGATCATAAAACAAAGTGTTCAGAACTAGATTATATAAAAAAGTGTTCAGAACTAGTTTATATTAAAAAAAAAAAAATCTGTACATTTCCATATACAAACTCAATGAGTAACTGATTTGAAAAGTTAGTTATAAAATGAACAGTAACACATTACATAGAAAATGTTGAGCAGAGCAGCTTTTTTTTTTTAATTTACACGGCAAGACTTATTGCACTTATTGTTTCTCTTTGTAAGCTTTGGTTAAAGGTGGCTGAAATTCAACTTTAGACATACAATCATTTTATCCTTTTTTGACTCAAACTTTCCTTAATAAGCTTTTATCTGACCGAGTTCTCTTGTGCTTGTAAATTACTCACAAATTGTATGAAACTGCAGAGAAGAACACAACACGCGAATATGGACGTCAGACAGAAACTAGTGCTGCACACTGTTTGCTCGACGATCTGCTCTGAGAAAAAAAAATGCAAAAAAGAAAAAGTAAGATTTACCTGGTGTCCTCAACCCATGCGTTGCTATGATTGGCTGTACTCATGACATCACTGAGATTGAGTCGCGCGACTGCTCGAGATATCTAGCATGCTAGATATTTTTCTGAGCTCGGTGACCTGTCTGCGAGGTGTCTGCGAGCTGTCTTTGGTGCGTTGTTGGCTCTTTCACACTAACGGATTGGCGAGCGTTGATCGTCCGCTAATCGCCCGCGATTTGCACGCGATAACACCCTGACTTGTCGGCGACTCAACGATTTGCAAATCGGGCTTAAATCGGGCTTAAAATCACGTAGTGTGAACTAGGCTTTATTGGACCTGTAAGTTACCTGCCATTGTAAACGAATAGGTACTATATTGTAACACACAGTTGCTCGCACATCATGTGCAGATCGCGTGCACACAGAATCATTCAGCAGCTCAGAGGCCGTATTCACAAAGAATTTTAGGAGTGCTTGTAAAATATTTTATCTAGGAGTTTTCTCTTAAAAGTTATTCACAATGCCTTTCAGACCTACTCTTAGTAAGGAAAAATGACAACTCCTAAACTCAGAGTGAGTCTTCGTTGCTATGGATGACGTCTATTCTCATGCACAAGCTTCCTCGCAATGATCACGTGATTGGTTGTTAGATGACGGCCATCATGCGGAACATAACACAGCAACAAATCATGGAATTACGACATCTAAATATGTCTGTGTCCTACACAAAATAATAATAGTACAGTCATCAAAATGCATATATAATGACATGTTTGTGCAGGCCCCAGTGAAGTGTAATACTAAAAAGGCAGAGAGAGAAAAGTCATGAATTAAATGAAGGTATCCTAATACCCCTATGAAAACCACCACTTGCCTAATAATGAAAAACATTTGCATTGACACTGCTTGGTTAACTGACATCCTATTAGCCTAACTAGACTACTAAAGCGAGGAAATATTGCTCCCATTGAAGTAATGTATTAGTTGAGTGACGGTTGATTATGAACTCGCCAAAACGGAAAAGAAAGCCCAACTGGGCGCAGGATCAGTTACTGCTGCTGACCCAGTTGGTGTTAGAAAAAGAAGAAAAAAAAAACATAATAAAAGGGAAATTCGGCACTGAGATATCAAGCAAAACGACAAGCGGACGACTGCGAGAGGTGCTAATATGTGCTAAAATCCTTTGTGAATAGGTCTTAGTGAGTTAGGAGTCCTCTCGACTTCTTTTAAGCTGTCCCAGACTTGGGTGCTACTTTTTGGGCTAAAATACTTCGTGAATTACTCTTAGTGACAAAAAAATTAGGAGTCCTAAAGTTAGCAGACACGCCCATTATTTTTAGGAGTTGCTCCTAAGTTCGCCAGTAACTGTACGTTCACACCGCTGCCGACTTGAGTGTCCAAAGTGGCCGGAAGTCATTCATTTTCAATGGAAGTGGCTTGTCTCAGCTGCAAGGAGTGTCAAATCCATCGGCGTTGCGTTTTGGGCGTTTCGAGCGTCAATCAGAAAGTTGAAAGAAGCTCAACTTTATGGTAATGAGCTGGCAAGCAGCGGCAAAACGCCAGCAACCAATCGACATATAGACGGCCTTCACGCTGGCTGATTCCGGAGAAACATACAATGTAAAGTTTCGTTCCTACCAAGAGAAAATGGAAGAGAAGCTAATAATCGCCATAGCTGTGTTGTGTGCTGTGTCGGCGGCGGTGTGAACGTACAGTTAGGAGCTACTTTTAGCCTTAAAATTCTTTATGAATACGGCCCCAGAAATGTATTGTCAAAACTGTTCTGTGATTTATCAATAAAATAGCTTAGAAACTGAAAAGTTCTATATTTCTTAAAAACTAAACTCGCAGCTTCACTATTAGTGGAGAGACGCTGCCAGGTAGAACGAATTGACATGTAATCACTCACTCACTATTGCATTTGTAAAAATGTAATCTTCACTGTTTGCTGCTTTATCTGTATCTGATTTAGAACAAGCTGAATTCTGGGAGAAATATAACAACCCAAAAACAAATGAACTGATTCAAATAAGATATTAAAAGAACAACAAACTGGTGTGTCATATCGTAGCTGTACACAAGGCAACCCGTGTTCAAGTCTTTGCTCGAGGTTCAGGTTTATTTGTTCATTAAAGGGTAACTAAACCCCTGGTCAGAGCCTGACTCTGAGGGCAGCACTAAGATGTTTTTACACCATATATTGTAGAAATAGAACACTTTATAAACAAATGCCAACAAAGTTACTTACTCGAATCAATGACTGTATTAATAAAGATCCATTCTTACAGATCATTAACTAAAAAAAGTTGGTTAAGTGTTTAGTTACTCTTTAATGATGTCATTAGTCGACGTTGACTCGACTTTCACCATATAAATGTCGACTTGCAAAAAATCCCTAATTTATTATTACACGATCATCGTTTTCAAGATCATCTGTGCCACTGTCACTACTCACGCCAATCCCTAATTCATTGAAGGTCAACATGTTGTGAATCTGTAATTACACAACTAATTCTCTTGCTTTTCTTTCAGGGAACAAATCTCAACGGGAGGAGCTGGACTCCATCCTCTTTATTTTTGAAGTAAGTCTTTCCTTCAGCTTGCACTTCATTAGTGTTCAGGGTTGTTTGTTGCTGTTGTATCTCTGTTGATGTTTTCCAGCTCTAAGGAGGTTTTGCATAGATGCTGGTTTTCTGGTTTTTCCACTCTCTCTCCTGCTTTTCCTGGAGGTGCCGTCCTCCCTGTGTTTTTCCCGCGTGTCTGAAAAGTAGACTCTAGTTTGCAATACAAATAGGCAGGCAGGGCATTCTCTGGTTTCATTGCTCAGGGAGGTGAACAGTCTTTCTTTTTTCTTTTTTTAGGAAAAATAGTGTCTCGGTGTGAGAAGAGAGTTTGCGTTGCATAAACAGAAGTTGACTTGAAAGGTCACCCTGGGGAAATACCTTTAATGTGTTTAATCAGAATAATTCACATTTATTTGTATGTGAATGTTTCTACATTACAATTTAGAATTTCTGTTACAAGATTTCCATTACACAAGAGTAGATGTTAACACTTAACACTGCTGATTTATACTAGGCTTTCGCCAAGGTAAGCAAAACTAAGATGTAGCTTTACAGTAAACTATGCTTCTCCATCCATTTACGCTTCTTTCCATATGGTGGCGGCAACTACAGTGTGGTCTCCCAACACAATAGGTGACTGTGTCAAATTAATGCCCATACGTAAAAAACGTACAGTTCTAATACAAATCCTGTAGTTAGCTAATATCATGTATTCATTTTGGCAGAAACAATGATCTCATTACATAAGTTATTACCAGTTCATAATGATTACAATATAAAATGGTGGTGCATAGAAAAGGCAGTCGTGCCTGTTGACCCAAATACGGAAAGCACTTTTGAACTTTATAATCTGAGGTTTGTCCAGAGATGTTTCGCCACTTTTCTGTAACTGAAGATGACTGTTGAGCGGTATGACTGTGTCCTCTTGCCTGAACATCCATCAGTTCATCTTCGAGTGTGCGGCGGGACAAACCAAAAGTTGCAGCCAAGTCCTTGATTTTTTTTTCCACAGGGAAAGCCAATGGCTCTCTGTCAGATGAAATGTCCTGCAGATTTTAGTCTCTGAAAATCAGAAAATGAGAGGTGAATTTCTCCTGCATTTGACTGACAGTTGTAACGAATCGTTCTTTCTGTTGTATGTCCAGTACACCCTCGCACACGTCATTCAGAAGTGGAAAGTGAGTTAAATCATCATCTTTGAGTTGTGACGTGTACAGCCCTAGCTTCATTTTGAAACTCAACACAGCCGTCATGTTTTTCGTCACCTTGAAGTTGTAAGTTCAGCTTGTTTAGGTGAGCTGTGACGTCTGAAAGAAAAGCAACGTTTGTTTTCCACTTATTGTCTCTCAAGACTGGAAATCTTTCTCCCTCGCCGATGTCATTAAGAAAGTTTACTATTTCGGGGAGTACAGCCAGAAAGCGATGCAAGACTTTTCCATGACTTAGCCATTTCACTTCACTGTGCAGAATGAGGTCTCCGTAACCACTGTCCAGTTCACCCAACAACGTAATAAAATGGCGGTGCATTAGAGGCTGTGCTCGAATGAAGTTGACCACACCTTGACCACATAACCTCCACGAAGTATCCATCAACTAACTTGCTGCGTAGTGCTTGTTAATGCACAATACAAATGAGATTTTTCGCATTTCAGCTACGAGACCCTTGTATTTTCCCGTCATTGAGAGCGCACTGTCAGTAGTGATGGAGAAACTGAGGATTCCGGGACAAGTGCTTTATGAATGTCCTCGCCCCTTTTGTTCATTCATGTAGCGATTTCAGTGCCAATCTTCTGTAACCTTAAGTCTCTGAATACACACATCTCACCCAGATGCAAAGCTGAGCAACATGTCTGTCGATTCATCCGCAGCCAAACTGAGTGCTGAAGCAGTGGCTAGCTTAGTTTTTAGTTGTTCTGTCAAATTCTCAGACATTTCAGAAATTCGACGAGTGACTGTGTTATTGCTGAGCTGTAAACTTTTTATCCTGCGAATTATCTCGGTCATCACTATCAGGTCATCAAACAGACATTGTAGCCATGTTTCCATCGACACGTTTTTATCCGAATTAAGTGATATCGAATGAAAAAAGCCTAATGGAAACAGTAAAATTCGATGAAATTTCATGAAAATCGACTCAAATGAAATACGTTCGGTCTCATCGAATTTTCTCTTGATCGATATACGGCTAATGCGATAAAAGCTGATGGAAACGTTATTTGCCGAATAAATAATGAATTGCGATTAAGTTTTATGCCCTTTTATGGTTTCAACACGTCAGAAGACGAGTTCATTTCCGGCCAGTCTGTTTGCGCACACATGGCGGATGTCAACAAAGACAGATGTAACGTTAAGTGGACAAAGCAAAAAGATGCTTCAACCAAAGGGTTTCCGTGAACCACGATCTCCCAGAACTGATGTAGCGCTCGTTCCCACACCACAGTCACCTCCGCTGTCGTCGGACATACGTGCATCGTCATCATCATAGCAATGTTTATAGCGTCGTTGTTTTCTTAGGTTAGTTTTGCTTGTTTTTACGTGGCTTGGTTGAATTCTAATGTAGAATGTGGTTTGTTATTTCTAGTTAACAGACTACGGCGCTGCTAGTATAACACACCGTTGCCATGGACGCAGTTCAGAGACGGAACAGACTATTTTCTTTAGCAGAAGCAATACTCGTTTTTAAATCAATAAACTCGTTTTTAAGTCAATATTTTGTGTCAAATTATTGATTTATTTATTTATTTGGTTGATTTATATGTAATAAGCAGGATAATATATAGCGAGGCGGTTGTTATAGCGAATACAACAACCGCCTCGCATACATTATCCCATTCATATGTCGCTATCAGCTGGCACATAAGCATTATTAGCCTTCAACTTCTGAAATATTGATCATTTTTTGGTAGATGGCGCGATCCGTTTTGTCTAACAAAACTTTGTTCGCAAAAGTTTGCTTGAATGTTTTTCGATTTAGTGCGAAAATAAATGGAAACACCTTAAAATGTCTCAAATCAATTCGATATACCAATTTGATCGCAAAACAGCATGTGACGTCATTACGTACAGGTTTTTATTCGCTTTAAAGCCGTTGGATGGAAACACACTTTCACCAGCTTTATCCGCATGAGTTTTGTTAACCGAATTTCAGATAATTCGATTGACAAGTGGATGGAAACATGGCTTGTGATTCCAGAAAACAGTTCTTAACTAGCTCTCCATCACTGAATGGTTTGCCTTGTATTCTGTATTCTCGCATTTTATTCTGTTCAACAATGGCATTTTTTTCAAGACTAGTTATCTTGAAAGCTCTTTCCTGAGATCCAGGTGGATATTTTGTGTATAGTAATGAAAACAATAATGAAATAATAATTTTAAAACTGTAAGTTATTAATATATATATATATATATGAAGAGCTCTTTTCCAAAAAGCGATAAACGCCATTTTAAAAAAAAAATGAGTTTGTCGTGTCATTCTGCTGTGGACAGAACCCTTTCACTGCTCCATTAACGTTTCATGCCAAATCGCTATATTTCCTTGTTTAAAATGTACTGCAAGATACAGTTTCTTTCCAAGCCGCGATAAGCGCCAGCCCTGTTTTTAGCCTAAACACGATAAATCCTCAAATTCAATGAGCGCTCTACACAATCCAGCACGGCGGCACTCTGAACAGAGGTTTATTATGTTCATTTATTCCTCAAAATGAGTCCTAGTTTTCTAGTCGACTAGTAGTAGATCATTTAAGCCATTTGTATTATCAGTAATCACATATATTGATTTAATTAAATGGGAGAGAAACCATATGAGCGTTTTTAATCGCCTATTCCGCATTTCAACGTATGCATAAAGCTTGCCACAAAGAACCGGCAAAAAGTAATGATTATGCATGAAACATTTGAATTGTTTATTAATAAACTAGTGTTTTCTGTCAGTGTCAGCAACAAAGATAAAGTTGATGATGCTTACTCGCCATCTTCGCAGTGAACGCGCATAGGCCTATAGAAACGCATACTTCGAATTAGCCTACATACGCAGAGAGTTGCCAATTTATTTTAGTTTTTAATTGTTTTGTTTAAAAGTAGATATTTAAAGCTTTCTGTAGCTTAGTTCTCAGGCCTGTGTGAGGCAAGCATCGCGGTGTTTCGGCTCTGTGTCCTGATTATATTGTCTGATATTTACTTCTAATGTATTAATCCAGTCAATTTGTCGATGAAACATTTATTAAAATGAAGATACAATTTATATGAAACAAAATTTACAAGCTTTCTACAAAACAAAACTTAATAAGTGGTCAAAATCATGTCTGACGCACTCCAAATATTTTCCGATATTGGGCAGCTTTTGAATTTTGATCCTATCTTACTCATCTCATGCGGTTCCCTTTTCATAGCCTACTCAACATAGATGAAATAATAAAAATAAGTAATGTAATATTATTAAAAACAAATGTGAAACGTATATTTTATGTTTATTTTGTTTTTTGTTTTTTTTTAACTTATATTTAAGCGTCATGCTGCTCCGCTTTGCTCACATGTTAGTAGCCTGTGTGTGTGTGTGCATGTGCTGGAGGGGTGCCCATCCCTTTTTTGAATATCGTTATCATATATTGATCATTTTTAATAATTCGTTTTTTTTCATGCATATGTTGAAATTGGTACTATTTGTTTGAGGTTTGACTCTTTACTAAAAATGACTACTAAAAATGATACAAAAAATGGATGGATTTATAGCGTTTTGGAAAAAAATAAAATTAACTTTTAAATTATCATTAACAATATTGTTGTTTGATTTAATAATTATTGTTCAAAATGTTCAGACTGAACCAATAAAACATTTAAACAGGATAATTTGAATATTCACAAAATGTGTGGGTCTAGGTAAAAAAATGTAGTTTTCCTGAAAACTATTGAAATGGATTTATAGCGTTTTGGAAAAGAGCTCTTCATATATATATATATATATATATATATATATATTTTTTTTTTAACGTGGTCAGCATCATGGGCCGCATCTGCTTGTG